GCGCGATCGTCTCCAAAGAGGATCGAGGGGGGGTGCTGGAGTCCGGCGGAGACCAGCCGGCACCGACAGGCATGGGAGCCGTGACTCTCTCCGCCACCACCACCGTTGCAGAGGAGGGTAGCAGTGCCGAAGCAGTTGCATCCCCGTTTGAGGTGAGCATCTTTTCGGCGGAGTTGGCAGCATTTCCCACTTGCCTCTTGGTCGTATGCTGACCTTGGGGGCGTTTTTTGCTTTCGGCGATTTTGGCGTGCGGCGTGTGTGGAGGATCCCGCCATTGTGGATCTTTACCAAGTCACGCCAGCCAGGATCCGCAAGGAGGGAGGTGTCGAGCGCAAGCTCATACCGAGTCCGACAGAACAAGGGGAGGTTGCGGATGATGAGCCGGTCATCGTTTGGCGCCACCTAGCCGACAAGCGAAAGCGATGTCGCCGCCACCACAACTCGAGGTTGGTCTCGCCGCTGTATTTTGCGAGGTTGGCTGGTTGTCGAAACCGGGCGGGGAATGGGGCACCGCGGATGGCCTTGCTGAAGACTCGAGGGCCAGGCAGCCTAAGAGAAGGACTGCGGTCCTCGCCACTGTCGTAGCGGCCGCCTCGGTGCGGGTGGTAGCCTCGGGTGGGCCCATCGTCATCGTGGCGTCATCGCCTGCTGACCACATCGTGGTCGTCTTGCGCCTCGCGTCGATCGCTGAGGCGGTCGTGCACTGAGGGGGCCTTGAGGCAATCGTGCATCGAGGGTCGTTTCAAGGTGTCCCCACGCCGTCGAGACGTGGAGCTTTTGGCCTACTGTACCACGGTAGTCTCGAGAAGGTCTCAGAGCTCGCCGTGAACCCGTCGCCCCTCCATGGTAGAGGGCTCGGGCATCGCTCGGACTAGCATCACCGCTGCTGCGACGTTCTGGCTAGCGCGATTGAAGATTGGGGGTTGCTCACTTCCTTCGTCGTTGTTGATGCGGCGGTGCACGTCGTGGGCCCTCCGTCGGGCCCTTCCGCCATCACCGCGACCTCGCCGCCTCCCGCCGAGTGTCTGAGCTCGCTGCAGCAGGAGTCGGTCTTGGTCGACTTTTGCCTGGAGCTCACGGAGCTACTCCAGGTCCAGGCATCGGAGTTCCTCGGCGGCGGCATTCACGTTCCGTGCTGCCCGAGGCTCGACGAGCGGAGGTGTGGCATCGCCCACCCCCTTGGCGAGAAGCGAGGGAAGCTTGTTTGACCGCCCCTTCACTCTCATTACTTGCCCTCTGGCATTCTCGAGCCCGATGTGGAAACACTCTCGAGTGGGATCGTAAGTGCCTTCGTCATCGGAGTGGAGTAGCCGAAGAGTCGCCATGCTAAGAAGCGAAGACATATCCTCGTGGTCGCAAATCCGGAGAAGTCGCGCCCGCCCACGCCGCCCTCCTCCAAGGAGTCGGCGTGGGTGTGGGTCGAGGTTGTGGTGGAGAAGTCAAGGGTGAATCGTTGGTGGCGTCCCAAGGGCTCCGCGTGCGCAGAGGCGTAGGCATAAGCGTAGGCGGCGGTGATGTTGTTTAGCCCAAAGGGATACGGGAATGGTGCCACCGCTAGGTTTTCACTCACCGAGTCGATTTCTCGTGATGTGGCGGGCGAAACCTGACCTTGACGGACGACGCCGCCGCCGCCACCGCGTCTTTCCCCTATCCAGGCTTAAGCTAGATAGGTCCCCAACCAGGGACTCTGTACCAATAGCTGGGCATGGGATGCTGGCGGAGCGCAGCGCGTCGCCCTGAGCTCGTGCGGTGTCGGGGTAGTCCCGCTCGTGTCGTGCCTGGCGAGCGCGACGAGAGCGGCGGCCCGGGCGCCGCCTGCGCCTAGGCTGCTGATGCGTGACATCGTCGTCGGTTGGTGGGGCTCTGGGTGTGAGGAGTACCATATCATACTCACATCCTAGAGACATGAACTCTAGGCTCCCAAACTAGACCACCGTGCCGAGACGTAGTGGGCGTATGGGACTAGCCATCCATAACTTGTTGGGACGATCAAGCTAACACGCAGAGAGCCCCTACCTGGCGCGCCAACTGTCGGTGTTTTGGACCGGGGGGTCCTCAACCAACTAGTAAATATGAACTACGTGCCCCTAATCCCTTAAGGTAATGCAAGGAGACACAAGGTTTATACTAGTTTAGGCAATTGATGCCCTACGTCCAGTCTGAGAGATCGATCTTGTATTCCTTGCACTGACGTGCTTGTAGTAGGGGGTTACAAGCTGGGTGAGAGAGGGAACTGGTCCCAGGTCTTGGCGTGGAGCGGTGTGGGCTGCTTGAGACGTTGCTCTCAGGCAACTGGGGAGAGTGTGTGTCTACGTGAGCCTATCTCGGTGAGCTCGTGAGTGCCTCTCGTCCTAAGAACGGCCCTGGTCTCCCCTTTTATAGTTGAAGGAGGGACAGGGGTGATACATGTGTTCGCCATGCGGCGAGCGGAGGTGGCGTGCCTGAGTCCTGTAGCTTACTACTGTAGCGGCATGGTCAATGGAGTGGTCTTGTCCTTGATGTACTAGAGCAACGCGCCGGTCACACCTGATCTCGTATGACGTGGGCGCTCCAGTGATAGCTTGATGCAGGGCATGGCCGACGATGTGCTGGTCGCTATGGGTTGACGGTGAAAAGAGCCGAGGCTCAGTTGGTGCCAAGGCCGAGCCATCGTGGGGAGCTCGATGGGCGCGAATCCCGAGGCTGCCGAGACCCTAAAGTGGATTGCCGAGGCTTTGGAGGGAGCAGTTGGTCTCATGCACCGATTCCGAGGCTACAGTGACCTATGCCTGCTTCCCCACGCCGCGCTGCTCCAAGAGCAGGAATTAGGTAGCACAGTGCAGTAGCGTGCCAGGCACGGGTACAGTGCTGAGCACAGTGGCCGGTAACCCCTGTTCTATCCTTTCTCATGTCGCGTCGGCCACCCTGCTGTACTGCGCCCACGTGCGGCTGACGTCGCGGGAGTGGTTGGACGCGTGACGTTTTGTCAGAGAAGTCGGTCGAGGCGGAGGCGACGAGGTTGTTGCCGAGCCAGCCTCGAGCGAGTCGGAGAATCGGTACTTCATTCGAGGCTTCACTCGCGGGGCCTCGGGCGAATTGGAGAATTGGTAACCCGTCCGAGGCCTTGCGGGGCGGGGCCTTGGCACGAGAGGGCCTCGGCGAGGCGGAGAGTCATTGCGACGCGGGCTTCGAGCGAGTCGGAGAATCGACCGAGACCCTGTGATTGTCCTTTGGCTTTGATATTTGTGAGGTTTAAGCGATCTTTTCGGTTCTTGCTTAGGGTACCCCTTTTTATGGTATCCGACAATTCCAGTGCTAGAGATTCCTCCTGAGGTGGAAGAAGAAATGGAAGCAGCAGTTATCCCTGTTGATGACAATGAAGCAATTGAGCCCTTGTTTTTCTATGATAGAGACAATCCTGACATGTCTGTAGGCACACTGTTTCCATCAATGTCTGATTTTAGATTGGCAGTTAAGCAACATGCTATAGTCAAAGAGTTTGAGTTGGGCACTAAGAAATCTGATCCATCAAGGTTTAGAAGATTTTGCAAATCAAAAGGATGCAAGTGGATTATTAGAGCTAGAACTCTGAGAGATAACAGTGTCAGGGTATATATTACTAACTATTTTTATACTAGAACATGTCACTATTTTTGATATAGTTAACCTGTTGTTTTGTGGTTTGTATGAAACTTAGTTCATAAATATAGTCTAATGTTGGCTTGCTTGCTTGCTTGTTTGTTTGCAGATACAAATAAACTCTAATGTGCATACTTGTGTCTCGAGAAGGAGAGTTTTGAACAGGATGGCATCCCAGGCATGGATTGCAGAGAGAGCAGTGCCTCTGCTTAGAGACAAGCCTCAAATGGGGGCAAAGGAGCTCAAAGAAGAACTTGAGAAGAAATACAAGATCAACATAATTTACCATACTTGCTGGTATGGTAGGCAGAGGGCTGCAGATAAGCTTTTTGTAAGTAGGACGATTCATTTGATTGGTTATTCAGATTCAAAACAGAGATAGAGCTTAGGTCCCTAGGTAGTGTAGTTGAGATAGACACTGTCAAAGTAGGCAAGAAGGTTCATTTCAGTAGATTTTTCTGTGCATTCAAGGGGAGTATAGATGGCTTCCTACAAGGCTGCAGGCCATACATTAGTATAGATTCCACTACTCTCAATGGGCAGTGGAATGGACACATACATGCAGCCAATGCTATAGATGGACACAATTGGATGTTCCCAATAGCATTTTGTTTCTTTGATTCTGAGACCAAAGAGAACTGGATCAAGCACCAGGCAATAAAAGGTTTGTTGCTTCCATTTACATCAACCAGCCACTAATGTACTGAGAGATGCACAAGCAACTAATTAGTTATTCACTTGCAGGAGGCTGGACTTGGATGAACCAGTGCCACTGGAGATAGTACCAGCAGATGAAGCTGCAGCAGTGCAACCAACCAAAAATATGACCCCAAAGAAGAAACAGCTAGCTACTAAGGTGAAGAAGGCAACACCAACAAAGGCTGGCAACTAAAGCATAACCACTATTTGAATGACTGTTCTTTTGTATGTATTTTGGAGACAGTAACTACTATGACCAATTATGTATGGCTGTCATGGACATGTTATGTATGGAATGGACCAGTTATGTATGGTTGTCATTGCAGTATGGATCTATTATGTATGGCTCTCATGTGTCAGTATGGACCTGTAATTTATGGCTGTCATTGCTAGTATGGACATGTTATGTATGGACCAGTTGTGTATGGCAACTGCTGAACCTGATAATGGATTAGCTTGGTATACAAATTTCTGTCAATTTCATCTTCTTGGTGGCTGTCATGGAATTTTTAGCTGTCGTCATGACAAAAGAACCATTTAATGCAACATACAATAGGCAACATAATAAAATAGCATTTCCATTGCATTAACTGTTCAGCATACATTTTCCTACTATTAAGAACAACCATTCACTTGAACACATACATTATGGCAACAATGCATACAACAAATAACACTAAAATCTACATCTTAAGCAAAGAAATCAGGACATCCATCTTGTTCTTCCCAGCACACTTTGATTGTGCTTCTTCTTCACCAAATCCCCGAGCTTCTTCTACTTCTTCTGCACCCACGCCAGCTTCAAGATCAATGACAACAAACTTCAACTCCACCAGCATCTTCAAGTACACTTTTTAGAATTCATAGAACCTACATCTACCAGGCATCTGCAAAATACCCAACAGTTAGGGTTCTTCAACGAAACCCAAAACCAAAAACCAAAACCAAGAAAAATCAAAATGGAACAAGAAAAACCCTTACCCCGGGCACATTTCTAGGACACTTGAAGAACATGGTCCCTGGTTGTCGTTCTCCGTTGTCCTCACTATGAGCTCGATTACCCTCTCTCTCTTGCATGTGGGACACACAATCAGCGGGAGCCCAGTCTTCTTCCCGGTGTCTTCCTTCTCGATAGCCCACGACGCCATGCTGCTTGACGAAGAGGGCTCCGTCCTCCGAGCCATGGGGTGCACGGGTGAGGAGGATCAGCCATCGCCGTCGCCAGGGAAGAGAATGGGTGAGAGGAGGAAGAATGGATGCGACTGCTAGAGTGGGAAAGAAGGGGAGTGGACTGGGTTTGACTCGGGACTGGGCCAGCTAGATACAAAAGATGGAAGTGAGAGCAGCATGGTTATTTCGTGTGCCAAGTTAGGGCTCTCAGGCTCCCTGCCACGCTGACATGCCACCTCAGCAAAAATAACAAAAACGTCGGAGAGTTACCGTTTACGATGACAATTGTTGTAGAGACGTGCACGAAGCAAAAAACGAAGAAGTGCCATCCTTCAAAAATCATATTATCGGTCGTTGGATACGAGGCAACGCCGACGCTGACGCTAAAGTAATCCTTCGACGGCCTGATTTAAGACAATTAATTAATATTCCAAATATAATATAAATGTATATAACTATATAATACTTGCGCTTTTTGACCATTTTATTCGCTTCCATTTCCAAATGATTTGCCACTTCACGATTTTCATCAACACATGTAGTTTTCTATTTTCCGTCTGTATCACTGTATATAATATATATAGTACTACTCGAATGTTCAAGAAACACTTAGAAATGGACAATTTAAAACTAGCAGCCTCATTTGCCAAATATACTCACACTTTTGACCACTTTATTTGCTTCCGTTTCCAAAAACTTTGGCACTTCACGTTCGGAGACGAGCACTAGAATGTTCAAGAAACACTTAGGCGGTGTTTGGCATGGCTCCTCTCGAGGAGCTCCTCCGGAGGAGCCGTAGCTGTTTTGGAGGATCCGAAACGGCTTCAACTCCTTTACTTTTTACTAAAAAACAGCTTCTCTGATAAAACGTTTGGCAGGCTCCCCCGCAGGAGCCAAAGCCGGGGAGGAGCCAGAGCCAAAGCCGGAGAGGAGCCCTGCCAAACTACTGAAACATTCACCCGCCCAGCCTGATTCTGATTAAATACAAGGTCCCATCATAAAATACACACATCCAACTACCATCATACCACCTCCAATACATACAGCCGTGAAGAAATAAAAGCGATATGTGAGCACGGAAAGCGAATAATCTCAAAAACTAGGTCGAGCGGTCAAATTAACACCAATATGTGAGCATACAAGATTTAAATTCACCTCAGATCAAAAGCAACACGATTGGGATTTCTTTTGAAAGAAATTATTGATTGCTTGTTATATTGCATCCGCTCTACAATGTTTCTTAGTGATTCAGTACAAGCCGAAACTATAAACCAGGTGCATCATACAAGTTCAGAACTAGAGTTTCAGAACAGTACCTTTTTTTCATGGAAATAGGGGCCATTTCTTGTCACCCATTGCATAAGAGATGATGCTCTTTTTCAGTGGTGATATGTACTGAGCACCGTGGAACGCAGCAGCTCTCACTATATTAAGGGGCCCAAAATCAACAGAGTACATCTTCTGGAAACCATCTAGCACTGCTGTCATCGCCACATTGGCAGCCTTCCGGTCCTTCTCATATCGTTGTAGCAAAGTCAGCTGCCAAAGGAAACGAACAATTTAAAATAGCATTAATTATGATTCAACTATGAATCATAAGAATGGTTCAGGTGCAATGCAACTGTAAAGTTCCAAAATTAAATTTCAAAAGAGAAAGGCTAAACAGAAACAGCAATAGATACTTACGTCCCCAACATCTGAGCCCACAGAAACTCCTTCAGCAATAACTTTTGCTAAAGCAGCAGCATCACCAAAGCCCAAGTTGACGCCTTGACCGGCTAAGGGGTGGACAGTATGAGCAGCATCTCCAACTAATGCTAGCCTTTTGGAAACATAATCATGGGAATGCATCAATGACAATGGAAATGCCATTCTCTCAGAAACTACACCGGTTGCTTTTGGTGGTACTTCAAAGCATTCCTTTGTAGATGTTGCAGTGTTCCCAATGCCAGAAAAGAACTGTTCCATGTAATGGTCAAGAGCAGTAGAGCGAGGATGTGGGCCATAACCAAAATCCAATGCGTGGTTCACCGACTTCACAAACTCTTCGGGGCTCATTGACTTATGGCGCAGTGACTCCTCTGGGCTCATTGTCCATACAATGTTGCTGAAGTTGTTGCCTATCGGAAGTAGTGCAATTGGACCAGAAGGGAGAAACCTCTGCCATGCACAATCATTTTCCACAACATGCTCTACTGTACAGATAATTGCACTTTGCGGATAATTCCACCCAGTTGTTTTTATGCTTGCAATCTGTCTAACATTGGACTTTGAACCATCAGCTCCTATCTGCAACAAAGTTTAAATAGGACTAGGAGATTGAGGAATGAAGCAAAACAAAGGTCAAAATAATGCAAAAGAAGATAAATAAGAAATTACCACCAATTTGGAATATAACATCCGTCCATCACTGAGGTCAAGTTTAACTAAATTACTGCAATGTAACTCTTCTGTAGTATGACCAATGGATAATGGTTCACTTGATGCTGGTTTCATTCCTGCTTGTCTGCTCTTCAACGGGAAAGTAAGAGACACCAATCTGGTAGGATATATCACATTTTCAATATCATCCAATTCTTCCTGTTTAGGGAGAAATTTTTAAGCGTCAAACAAAGTTGATTATTTTTACCAGAAAGAAAGGCACGCTAACAGAGTGGGAATCTGGGTTGCACGACACCAAATTATCAAATTCCTGTGCTCTTGGCTATCTGGGATTATCTTATTTTACTGCATACCTGTAAGCACATCATTTTTTTTTAAATGGTGTATTTGTACTGTTTACAACTAACATAAGAGAAATATATGATCTTTAGGCAGCACAAAAGCAAACACAACTTTTTGCCATGACAAATACACCATAAGATTTACTTTGATACCTATGATGCATAAACAACGTGGGCAATACAATTCACTATGATGTTCAAGAGTTAAAGAAAAGACAAACCTTTAAACGTAAGAGCAGCGAGTTGCAAAGCACTTTGTTCTCCACCACACATCTAAGCAACGCAAACACAAAAAGAAATATATGGCCACTGACAAAAAAAGATAAGCAGATAAAAAATAATGACAGCTTTTATTAAAGCATACCCAAGGTATTTTTTGCCCACATCTCTTGCATTATATCTCGTGTATCCAAGCCCAGTGTAATCCCACACCTGCCAGTTGTAAGCAAAACATCCAGTATTGTAGTTATTACCAAAGTGGAGCATTAATTTCATTGTGTGTTTGCATGGAAAATAACAGAGAGAAGGACCAAAGAAAAAGAGAAGGCAAATACTGATGCATGCCCATATGGTTAGGTGATAGATGTACTTTTGCACAATATACACATTGACACTCTGGCGTGCCTAGATGATACAAAAACATCTATTGTAGACCAGCTATCTTCCAAAAAGACATAAGCTCCTGTTTTATGCCATCAGATATAGTAAGCAGAAACATGAATGCACAATAGAAGTATAATACTGTCTCTATGCTCAAATTGTAAATTGAGCTGGACAACCTTTTGAAAACCTGAGGCTTGCATGCCCCACTGGTATTGCTAGCATAATGTAAAGCACACAAATGATAACTTCAATTGTTTAGTTAAATTAGTACAAACTCATCACTAACTTGGCATCTGATCAGCAAAGCTCAAAATGCATATACACCAAGAATGTGTTTGATCAAAAGAGACAAAAGGTGAAACCGTAATAAACAATGGCCATACATTATCAAATAAATTGTTTATATAGATAGAAGCATGTTAAGTCCTCACCTGCATTTTACCAAAGAAAGCATGTCTTTGCTGTTGAACATGCTCCCAGGCGCCAATATCTGCCACATTAATGCGCACACATGCATGAGGAATATTACCAATAACGCTATTATTTCTGGTAGCAAAACAAGCCATGCACATATAAAAAATGGAAAAGTATCATTTTTAAACTATACTTGGTGAAGAGAGACATTCCAATGCACACAAAAAGCAGAAAATTAAACAATAACAGATGGTAACTTTGTCACTGTTACAGTTACAGTAGTGAAATGTACACAACTAGATGTCTAAACTGGTGACCTGAAAGAAAATGGTAGTTTTGCCACTGCCATAATGAATCAGAAACAATTGAAGAACGATACAACGATCAAATTGCTAACAACAACAGATGGTAAATTTGTCATTTGCTGTGATGAGGCTGAAACTTTGAGGACTGGTAGATCAATAAAGAGTGACAGAGTTGTTGGCATGTTTGTTTCTTATTAAGTTCCGGCATATCACCAATATAGCCCACGGGATAGGAAACTGAGAAAACATTGGAGTAACTTTGATAAAGTTTATAGAAAAATGCATCAAATTAGTTCCACTAAATTTGCCATGGAACATTTCCTAATAGTATAATTATTTGGTATCATAGATGTTAATGTATTTTTTTTCAAAAACTAGGTCAAAATTAGTAAAATTTGACTTAGGACAAAGTTAAAATGAACTATAATTTGGAACGGAGAGGGTATGACAGAAATGTTTTACCATATTCATTTGGCAAACATCTGTGGCAGCCAAATCTTTTCGCCAAACTTGTGGCAAGTTATGGATAGAAAATGGGTGAGTGACAGCTGGGTTCAGGACTTCAAGGCTAATAAACCATGGCAAGCTCAAACTGTGAACCAAACGCTGATTAAAGTTGATTGAACTACTTTCCCTGTACATCTAATGTGGTCATATGGTATAGTTGATCAAACATAATTGTGTAGATATCAGTGTAAATGACACGAAAGGTCAATCTAGATGAAATGACACCTAAACACACAAGACAAACTTGAATCCAAATACTGTTGCAGGGTAAAAGACAGCTGAAATTAAGTATGATGATACATGTATTTGATTCAGAATCATACCTCTGAAGAAGGAAATGGTTGCAGGGGTAACAGTACTGACCCTAGAATCGGGTGTACTGTTTTTATCCAGGTAACCTCTTGACTTCAACGCTGGATTGCTATCGATAATAGCAGTTTTAAGATGTTTTGTTAATGGCATATTAGCTGCATACAGGACATACGAGTATGTGAGAAATTACAACTTTAATACATTACATCACATACAAGCAACAATTCTATGGTAAATACTTAACACACTGTAAATAGGCAAATGATGCTCCCAGAGAAGTGCAACTGACAAACAGTCTTATTTTGGGTGTGATACTATTTCTGATCAAAAGATGCAACAAGGGAAGGAATGTTCCGAGCATCAATAGTCAGGCAAAACTAAACACAAGGCGCCAAACTCATCAGCGTCTTAAACAGAGGAGAGCACACGAACAGCAATACCTACACAATGCACAAGCGACTGCCAAGCCCACCATGCCTCCACCAACAATAGCAACGTCGAGCACATCAGGCGGAGCCTTCACGCCAGCAACCTTCTTGGTGTGACTGTGATCCTACACGTTCATTGAGAGAGTCAGGACCAGGACACGCGCTTGAGCCACGGAACCGTAACTCCGGACGGAGCAATCACAGTCAGCACCCCAAACGACGCATTCCCCTGAATGCCTAAACCCTACAGCAGGAGCGAAACACAGAGGCACACGGGAAGCAGAGTGTTCGGGGTGAGTACCTGCGACCTGGGCGCCCCGGAGGCCGGCGCACCGCAGAAGGCCCTGGCGAGCGGCCGGATCCGGCTCGCCGCCGCCGCGAAGCATCTGCGTGGGAGGAGAGAAAGACGGTAGTGAGTGCGGGAGAAGCAGAAATCTCAATGCAGAAGGGGCTGGAGGAGGGGTCGATGACGCGCGCTTTACCTTCGCCTGGAGAGCATGGCGGAGACGGCGGGGGTGCGCGTCGGTGCCGTCGGTCGTCGGCGACGAGGCCACGAGGGAAGAGAGAGAAGAGCGGCGCGCGCGTGGAGGGCTCCTGCGCCGCGCACCGGTGTGCGGTGGGCGGATTTCGGCCTGCTACTGCTAGATTGGGCCGGGCTCTGGTTTACAGCTACGCGCCTACGCCTGATGGGCTGACTCTGCGTGCACGGGGATGCGCAGCTTTCCTTTCAGAAGATGTCACGCGTCCACGATTCACCCCTATCGTGGGCCCGCCATGGCTAGTGGTCAAGGCACTATTAGCCCATGGTAAAATGTGGACAGGAGTCAAAGAGACCTGGCGACAGGATAACTGCCAAATCAGGAGCATATATACGGTGGAAATCCACTTTGGTCAACTGTCAATGTGACAGTGGTGTTTTACTGCAAATATCTTTTTCCCGTTTTTATGAGTAAAGGATGTTTTAGCGATCTTTTTAGGTGCAGGATATTTAACTATTTATTATCATCTTTATAGATAGTCAGGGGCATTTAGGGCCTTGTTTAGATTGCCTCCAAATTCCAAGTGGCTGGTAGCATTAAATATAGGTAAAAAACTAATTACACAATTTGGTTGTAAATCACGAGACGGATCTTTTGAGTCTAGTTAGTCCATGATCGGACAGTTTGGCTCGAACGTCCGGTTGCAAAAATTTGCAAACGTACAAAACGGGAAAAGTTTAGTGTTGTTCTATCTTCGACGAGAAGTATATACAATCCTGTGTAAATTTACCCTGGCAAACGGAGCCATCCGCCATCTATAAGGACGACAAAGTAAAATATCAAACTAAGGTTAGTCTCGAGTTTATACCATACTCATTAATTAGGTACTATCTAGGGTTTTTTCTGATGCAAAACGGTCGATAAGAAACATAGAGAAGATGCATCTTATGCACCATCACGATATGCAATGTGCTATGGATTGGTGGCGAAGAACAAATAGAATTTGCTACAAAAGCCGGCTAACAGGGGTATTTCTATGTGTCGGTGCAGAAAGTGACCAACAAGTAAATATTTGTAGTTTTGTCGTACGTTGTGATCGGGGGTGGCCTAGCACTCAAGTGACACAAGGTTTATACTGGTTCAGGCAACGTGCCCTACGTCCAATTTGGGTCGGTCGGTGACTTTATTCCTGAGTCCAGGTGCTCGATGTTTGCAGTGAGGTTACAAACGAGAAGGAGAAGATGGGGGTATAAGAGGTCTGGTCGGACTCTGGTCAGAGAGACCGAAAGCGACAGGAGCCCCGCTATGAGCTAAGTGTTCAAGCGTGTGCTCGTGGTTCGAACATGGTGGTTCTGTAGTTGTGTACTAGTGAACTTGATCGATCTAATGAATCTGGAATGACTTGAAACGACCTGGGTTAACTGTCCCATTTGGGGAGAGGGCGCATCCCCTTTTATAGATGAAGGGGATGGCCTTATAAGTGGGAGAGAGAGGGTACGTATGCTACTGAGTCTTGTTGCCCACGTCGATGGGTACAGGATAAAGGTAGACGCCCACAATACTGTTTAGTGTCGGACGCACATGGGAGGTTTGTTTGTCTTCTTTAGGCGTGGCAGACGTCGGCACCTGCTGCCCTGTTGATTCTGTGAGGCTCGCAAGGGCTTTTACCATGTTCTCTTGGAACGGTAAAAGCTTGCGCCCACAACACTGTCGATGTCCAGAGGCATGTGGGGGAGCCTTACCGTATGGGAGTTAATAGCACCCACAATACTGTAGGAAAAATGTCGGCGCCTACAATACTGTTTGAGCTCTGTTGTGCCAGGGAGGTTGTAGAGTACTGTTTCTACAGGTGTGCAGGGTACGGTCCCTGGTATCGTGCTTTGACTTGTGTGCCCTGCCTTGTTTTCTCCGAACATTTCCTGGTCCTTACCGAGCGGGCGTCCCCGGTCGGTTGGTCCCAGTCAGCTCTGACCATGCCAGTCGGAGAAGAGCAGTGAGCAGGGGCTTGGCACATCCCCGGTCGGAGACGTGGGTTAGAGTCGGAAGCGGTGCTTTTGGGCAGGCCTTTCGGTCGGAGAGGCCGTCCGGAGGCGGGCTGGAGACCGAAGTGAGCGCTCCGGTCAGATAGATGGGCTAGAGTCGGAAAATGGGCGCTGCTCCTCCTCGGCCAGACCTTTCGGTCGGTGGTTGGATCGCCCTTCTGGCTTGTTGTTTAGATACTTGGGCCGGCCCATGAGTTGTGCGTTGTCTGCTTGGGCTGAGCCTTTGTAGAGAAGCCGGTCCGCGAGGGACCCCGGGTTTATGAACCCGACACTACGTGTCGGGTTTAAAAACCCAGAGTCCCTCGGGGACCAGCTTCCACGCCAGGGCTCGGCCCAGGAAAATAACATGTAGTCCATAGGCTGGCCCAAGAGTCTAAGAAACAATGGGCCGAGAGGACAGTCCGGTCGTCGACCGGGAGGTCTACCCAAAAGAACAAATGCCCGCTCATCAACTTCTTTGGCCCACCTCTCCGACCGGAGCACTCACTTTGGGCACCAACCGCCTCCAAGTGGTCCCTCCGATCGGAAGGCCTGGCCCAAGACGTTGCTTCCTACTCCGATCGGGGACCCGTAGGAAGCTTGCGTATCGCTCTTCTCCGACTAGCACGGCCAGGGCCGACTAGAGCCATCCGACCGGGGACGCCCGCTCGAAAGGGACCAGGGGCGAACGGAGAAGGCAACGACACAAAGTCAAACCACGATACCGGGACCATACCCTGTACGCCTGCAGGAACAGTGCTCCATGACCGCCCTGATGCAAGTAGTATTGTAGGCGCCGACATTTGTGCCTACAGTATTGTAGGCGCCGTTGGATTCCCATACGGCAAAAAGCCCCCCACATGCCTCTGGGCATCGATAGTGGGCGCCAGGATTCACCATACCTGGTACACATGGTAGGGCTCCTCACATACACAACAGTATTTTGCAGGTACCGACATCCACCCTTCCTGAAGAAGCCAACGCAACCCTCATGTGCATCTGACGTTCTACAATGACATCAACAGTATTGTGGGCACCTATCATCATCACTGTCCTCATCGGCGTGGGCAACAAGACTTAGAAAACATCCATCTCTCCCTCTCACCTATAAAGCCATTCCCTTTATCTATAAAAGGGGATGTGCTCCCTCCAACCAAAAGGCCCACTTCTTTCAAGTTAAGATTCACTAGATCGATAGCTCGCAACCCCTCAAGCACACGCTTGAACACCTAGCTCATAGCGGAGTTTCGGTCGTCCTCGGGCCCTTTCGGTCGGACCCAACCGGGCCTCTCGTACACCCCTCATTTCTCCTTCTCGTTTGTAACCCCACTACAGACTTCGAGCACCTGGGCTCAGGAATAAAGTCACCGACCGACCCAGACTGGACATAGGGCACGTTGCCTGAACTAGTATAAATCTTGTGTCATTGAGTGCTAGGCCATCTCCGATCACAACGTACAGCAAAACTACAAATATTCACTAGTTGGACACTTTCTGTACCGATAGTTGGCGCCGTCCGTGGGGAAGACGATGTACGTTCAACACTTTTTGATCATCGGATGGCCCATTTTTTCACCACCCCCGCCACGGCGGGCTCGGACGATATGATTCGCTTCGGCTCGCTGGAGTATCCCACGCTCTCGCCCGTCGGGATGCGGGTTCCATTCATTTTTGAGCCATCCTAGGCCTTCCTCTTCGGAAGCCTGGACTACATCGCCGACCGGCTCGGCGTACTCCACCTCCGTGAGGAGACTCGCGACCCAGCACCCATCGGAGAGACGTCCTCCGTCGACTCCGAAACGCGTGACCTCAGCGGCGTGGCTTCTGCGCTTCATTCCGAGCAAACTCTCTGCTCAAACCACACTATAAGTAATACACGTACTTTTATTTGCCCTTTATTTACCATCTCCCACCGATCACCCGGAGGGACTGCACCGCCTATAGCACATACACCGTGCGGTTGGTTCCCTTACGACCTCGCGTCTTCCGTGGATGCTTACGCTCGGGGGCTCTGAAGGGCGCTGGCACCATCCCCACTCACATTCGAATTCGTGGGAATGGCAGGCTCTGCTCATGTTGTTTCCCATGAACTCCCCGATAACGAGGGCGAGAGCGATGGTTCCAGCATCGGTGATGCGACGCACCACGCCACCATCTGTCCTAGCAGTGCGCTATGATGGACGGTCGAGGACAACCACCGGTGGTTGTGGAGTCCGCGCAAACTCACACCCCTCCGGACACAGCGTGTGGAGGCCCTCGCATCTGCGCAAGCACACACCGAGGAACTACGACAACGACGACAGAGAACCGCGCCGTCCGCGCCGCAAAGACGATCGGTGCAAGACGTTGCGCCCGAAGCGCATATGGTCCGCGGCGGCGCGCGCCAGGTCACGCTTCGCCGGGTCTAGCATGACATTGTGAACGAGGGGAATGATGTCCCACAATTCGCTTGGGCTGGCCAGAATATCACTGCTGCAGCAATGCTTCTGCGTGGTGTTCCCGAGCCCGCCGACCCTCAGGAACGGGTAGTCTATCGGAACCTCCGGGTTCTAGTAGAGGCCGCCGCCATCCAGCAGGCGAAAAGCTCCATGTCACGACTCTGACCCGCACCTCTCTCTCTCACCACCGGGGATGGGGATGCGCCAACCAGATCGCTCCATTCGCTCGCCGCTGCACCGTCAATTTCATTTCCAGGGTGCGACAACACGTCACGGTCCGAGTCCGACCTCGCGCCGCTTCCACACCGACCGCCGATACGCGAGTGGCCCAATCCACACTAGGACGCCCGTAGCGTCATCAGCGATCGACATCGGGCCCAACACGATAACAATGTCCGCCGTACGGCAGCAGGCAACACGAAGCGGTGGAACGCGCCCTAGGCGCGGTCGCCGACCTTACGATCGGAGCCCCAGTCCTGAGGGCCCGGGGCCACAGGCCTTCAGCCGGTGCATCCGGAGAGCACTGTTCCCACAGCGTTTCCGGCCTCCCTCCAACATCAC